CAGCATAACTAAGGGAGGATTCAGGGTCACCAGCCCTAACTATATGCTTTAGCAAAAAGGAAAGGTTTAAGCCTAATCTTAAAAGTAGAGATAGTGTCTGTCTCCCGAATCCAAACTGGAAGCTGGTTCCATAGAAGAGGGGCCTGAAAACTGTGTGCAATAACTTCAGTTTTATCTGAATTAAGAAGCAGAAAGTTAGCGGCCATCCAGGTTTATGTCTTTAAGACATTCCTGCAGTTTAACTAATTGGTGTGTGTTATCTGGCTTCATGGATAGATAGAGTTGGGTGTCATCAGCATAGCAGTGAAAATGTATGCTATGCTTTCTGGTGATACTGCCTAAGGGAAGCGTGTATGATGTAAACAGAATTGGTCCTAGCACTGAACCCTGTGGAACACCATAATTAAACTTAGTGTGTGAAGAGTACTCTCCATTTACACAAACAAACTAGAGTCTATTAGATAGATATGATACAAACCACTGCAGTGCAGTACCTGTAACACCTACAGAATGCTCTAATCGCTCTAATTGGATATTATGGTCAACAGTATTGAACGCTGCACTAACCTAAAACTGGTTCGGTTGCAGGATAAGCACAGAGATGAGTCCACTGTCAGAGGCCATAAGAAGATCATTTGTAACCTTCACTAAAGCTGTTTTTGTTCTGTGATGAGCTCTGAAACCTGACTGAAACGCTTCAAATAAGCCATTCCTCTGCAGATGATCTGTTAGCTGTTTTAAAACTACTGCTTCAATAATTTTTGATATGAAAGGAAGGTTGAAGATTGGCCTATAATTAACTAAGAGTGCTGGGTCTAGAGATGGCTTTTTAAGTAAAGGTTTAACTACTGCCGGCTTGAAAGCCTGTTGTGCATAGTCAATTATTAGAGATAGGTTCATCATATTTAAGATTGAAGCACTAATTAATGGTAGGACTTCTTTGAGCAGTCTTGTAGGAACTGAGTCCAAAAGACACGTTGATGATTTGGAGGAAGCAATTACTGAAGTTATCGCAGAAAGATCGGTTGGAGAAAAAGACTCTAAATGAATATCAATGGTACTGAAAGTAGCTCTAGATAATGTTACATCTGTGAGATGATTATGAGTATTGAAGTTGTCTCCCGTCTTAAGCCTTCTATGTGTCATCTTGACATTATCGCTTCTCATCTTTTTAAAGAAGTCTTTGAGACTGTCACGGTCTGCAGAGGCAGGTCGTGCGGTGGTGTGTAATGGACCCAGGAGCGTACACAAGTGAGTAGACGGGAGTGAGTTTAACAGAAAGCGAGCCTTTAATATGACTGAAGACCAGGAATACAAACACAGCAGGGATAGCGTGGCTAAACTATAACTAAACTGGGAAAACTAATACTGTGACAAACTAAGAGAACTCTGAGACGAAGATGATCACAAAAGACTGATCGTGAAAACATGGGGGTGAGAACACAGACGACGCGACACAGACTACATGAAACACAGAGACTAAATACACAAGAGGGATGATCAGGGGAAGTGGCCACACATGGGAACACAGCTGACACAGATAAACATAACAAGACATAGCAGGAGTAAACAACACTGACGGGAGACTGTCAAAGTAAAACAGGAAGTACACAGGTGCAAACAGGAGGAGAGAGAGAGCGCGGACATAGTGGGCTGGGGAAACATGGAATGAAACAAGGAGGGGAGATGAGGGCTCACAGATACATAGAGGGGCACACAGGGGATAAAAGTCACAAGGGGAAGTCAAATAAGGAACAACACAACAGGACAACTTAGGAAACATGGCCTAAATAAGGAATGAAATACAAAAATACAAGAAACTAAGAATACTGGGCCCACATGGCCCAGGACCATGACAGAGACCATTGGCCCTTATGTTTTAACTATCAATAAGACCTCCTTCTTAGCTGGAAGTGTTCCACTTGATGTTAAACATGCTATTGTCCATCCACTTTTCAAAAAAAGTAACCTTGACGAACTGGTTCTTTCAAATTTTAGACCATTCCCACATAGCAAGCAGGTCTGGCCCAGATCTGGTATCAAACCTGCACTGCTGGTTGACTTCTGGCATGATAAGACTTATGTCATCCAGATAGGGGCCAGGTCTGGCAATGATGCCACTGTTCATGCGATGGCATGCCATATCTGGCTCGATTGTGGTTTGGGTTATGTGGCCCAGGCCCATAGAAAAAAAGTTCTGGCCCAGATCTGGCATCAAGCTGGCACTTCGGACTGACTGGTGTCATGGCAGAGTGTATGTCAACCAGATGTGCGCCAGGTCTGGCAATGACACCACTGTTTATGTCATGGCATGCCATATCTGGCCCGATTGTGGTTTGGTGTATGTGGCCCAGGCCCATAGAAAACAGGTCTTCCCTGGCTCCGGTATAAAGCTGGCATTTCTGACTGATCGGAGTCATGGCAGGGTGTTTGTCAACCAGATGTGTACCAGGTCTGGCAATGATAGCACTATTTATCTTCCTATTTTCCTATTTTACTTAGAAGACCCAAATGCCATGTTGCAATACTATACTGCTATGGTAGCCAACGTTTCAAATGCAGGTTTGACAGGTTTGTGAGTGTACACTTTATCCAAAACCTATTGACGGTTTACTCATCTTTGCCAGTCGGTGGCTGTAGCTCAGGCAGTAGAGCAGGTCACCTACTGATCGGAAGGTTAGTAGTTCGATTCCTGGCTCCTCCAGTCTGAAAGTTTGTGTATGAATGTAGTTAGGAAGCACTCGGTATAGAGAAAGTGTGTGATTAGGTGAATGGTGGCCCAGATCAGGTTTGCCAGAGGTAATTCACACATGGGCCAGCAGAGGACCACCAGTGTGTCTGCAACTGGCCTTGTGCTGGCCCATGTGTGGGACACCACTGGCAAACCAGATCTGGGCCACCAAAGGGCCGTCATTCTTTGCGGTATGTGGGCCATGTGTAAGCACATTTTGTGGGCCTGATCGGGGCCACACCAATTTTGCTATGTGGGTTATTAATTAATTAGTTATTGTAAATTTAAATGTTATTAGGAAATGATCAGGCAAGAGAGGACTTTCAGGAAACATTGTTAGATGTTCAGTTTCTATTCCATATGTTGAAGATCAAGATCTAGAGTGTGATTAAAGTGGTGGGTTCTTTCACATTTTGAGAGAAGCCAGTTGACTCTAATAACAGATTAAATGCCATGTTGAGGCTGACATTTTTAGCATCTACATGGATGTTAAAATCACCCACAATAATTATTTTATCTGAGCTGAACTCCTGGTCTGATTGGGGAGGGGACCGAAGAAAACTACATATAAAACGACACTGCTTTGGCAAAGTTGCACGCCGATTCAATATTTATTTTAGTGACCTCTGATTGAAGTAGTTGGGTGTCATTACTGCCGACATGAATTATAATTTTACTCAGTTTACGTTTACCCTTAGCCAGCAGTTTTAAATTTCCCTCAGTGTCACCTGCTCTGGTCCCTGGAAGACAATTGATGGTTGCTGGTGTCTCTAGCTTCACGTCTCAGAACAGAATCACCAATTCCCAGGGTGTGATCCCCAGCAGGTGTGTCGCTGAGTGGGGAAAAGTGGTTAGACACATGAACAGGTTGGTGTGTACCAGGGGCTTCTGTTTAGGACTATGCTTCCTCCTCACGGTCACCCAGCCATCCTGTTTCCCCGGCTTCTCAAGACAGTCTAGTGCAGCGGTCTCCAACCTTTTTTGCGCCACGGACCGGTTTATGCCCGACAATATTTTCACGGACCGGCCTTTAATGTGTCACGGATAAATACAACAAAATAAAACTAGTACCGGTACCGAAAAAAAGAACATTTATTCATAACGCACGTGAAAAGACCCAGGAAAACCGAGTAAACGATCAAAACGATAACAAAATAACGCTGAAAACCGATAAAAACCCTGAAAACCATACATTTCACACCTGAGCCTCAACTCTCGCGGCCCGGTACCAAACAACTCACGGACCGGTACCGGTCCGAGGCCTGGGGGTTGGGGACCGCTGGTCTAGTGTACCACTACACTGCCTTCGGCTGCACCGGCAACAGGGGCCTGGCTAGCTAAGGGTTTTTCAAGGGTGCAAAGCTGAGTGTCCAATTCAGAAGTCAAATTAATTAAATACTGAAAAGTCCCAGATCAAGACCTCAAGTGGTAGAGTGTATTGTCCACTAATCAGAGGGTAGTTCAATCACCCTACGCCTCCTGTCAACACTGAAGTGCTCTTGGACAAGATGCTGAACTGCAAATTGCTCCTGATAGAAGACAAGCACCTCACATGTCCTTGAATGCGGTCCATTAACCATTTACCTCTAGAAATAAATATGCTGTCTTTGTGAAATACAGAAGGAGTGAACACATATTTTCACCTTGGAAGTATGTAAATATTTGTATTTGGTCCTGACACATCTGCTCTGATTTTGTCTTTCCAACCCTGTGGTCAATGACTGTGCTAAATAACAATAACAGGACTTTAGCGTAATTCACCACTGGCGATTAACCTGTTGTAGAAGGCTCATCTGATAAGAAGGCACTGATTTGAGTTATTACAACAGGCCTGGCTTGTAGGTTAAACTCATTTCCTGCAAGTTAACTTGGAAAAAAATAATTTCAGTTTAGCCACTAAAAAAAAATGGCCTCAATTTAGATAGCAATCATTTCATTTCATTTGAATTAATTTGGCTCAGCTGGAAGTAAAATTAACCTGTCTATACCACCCAAAGAAATGTGTACACATTCTTTATCAAGGACTTAGCCTCAGTTAATTGATTTGAGCACCCGGCCAAACAATCACATCCTAAACTGTTGCTATTAATTAAAAGAGACCGAGCAAGTTTTGTGATGAAAGAAGGATGCCCTTGTTGTCCAACATTCTTAATACTGACTCTTATGTCTGTGAGTGCATGGAATGACTTGTTTTATAATGAAAGCAAAGACAATTTGTATGTCTTTTACACACATTCGAAGGCAATTATGCAAACTCATGAAACAGAGACAGTTTTGGGAAGGCTGTTTATTTAGTAAAGCATCATCCAGTTACGTATAATTTACAAGCAATCACAACCCATGTAGAATTCTCCAATAATCCAACTGCATTGCCTCGTTTAATACTGCAATGCTAAACTCGCTTCTCTGACTCAGAAAAAATGCTTCATGCACTGATTGATGTGTAAAATTAGAGAGGAAGGAAGCAGACCCAACATGTCTGCTGAACTAACCACAGTATATATGTATATATTTACGTGTGTGTGTGTGTGTGTGCGACAGTTGTCTATTCACTATTAGGGCAAAGCTGAGGTACATATCAATCATAGAAAGGAAGCATATTGATTGAGTGTTGGTGTCACTCAGGTAATGATGAGTGAAAGGACTGAGTGAGCTGAAAGATATGTATATATCTGGATTTATTTTCTTTAAAAAAGCATGTGTGTTAACAGAACCAGTGTAGAAATAAGCAATATTGTTAGATTTTCTTGTACAGTTGCATTCAATACATACAGAATGGAGTTAATAGCTACCTATTGTCCAGCCACAGTGGAGCAGTTAAATAAGAGATGCTTTTTTCTGAAGCAAAATTATAGAAGAATAAAAATAATAATAATAATGACGCTAGCCTTTTTTCTAAATTTGCTGTGGTTATGCTGCAGGTAAACAGTATGTACCGATGTGCACACAGTCACTACGAGAAAGTCAAATCTGTGTTTGGACACCTGGAGGTCAGAAGATTTAAACGGTATATTATGTTGATATAGTTGTTGCTTCTGAGTAGTGCGTAGACCAAATACACAGCTCCCTTCCAGAATACCAAAATCTCAGCCTATGAATAACAACGCAGCACCCAGCCTCCCTCCCTCTCAGTCACTAGTGTGTAGAAAACAAACTGAAGTCTTTGGCTTTGACGCTTCAATTCTCTGACTCTGACTGCCAGTTGTGGAATATCTGAAAAGCACAGTTTGAATTTAACTGCTTATTGCCTACCTTATGCTGTAACAGCATGTGATTGGTGATATGGATAATGTTATTGTTCACCACGGCTTCTGAATTTTGTTGCAAAGGCCTCGATAGGCCAGCTGTGTCGTCTGCTATTTAGACGGCAGGACATCAGTGCTATTTTTTTTTTTTCAAACATTTTGCATCAGCTGAAACCTCGTTGTGCTTTGATGTGCTTTTATGCTAATGTTTCTGTTTTGCTGGTCATTAACTGAATTCTGTTGGTGCCATTCACACAAATATGTTTAAAAGTAAGACAAAAACTTTTGATTTTGACATTGTTCACTGACTGCAAAGCAAATTCTTCATTAAGAAAGACTGTCTTTGATTCCCTTTGGCAACACACATAAATGGCTAACAGCTCATTTTGGCTTTCTCGGTGTACTCAGATGGATTGCCTTCAGTGATTCCTAGTTAAATACAGCAAATCTGATTAACGTAATACATAATCTGACATAAGTATCATCTGTGGCTGACAAGAGACCTACATAATTCACTTTGTAATTCCCATCCACAAATGCCACTCTCAGACCATCTTATTTACAAAAATCCACACATTAGACAGTAAGCTGTCTACTGAATGCCAATAATCATAGCTGGCAAACATTTTTTGAAAGGGAGTTCATGACTTTGTAGTTTCAACGGCGTCCTGGAAGGTTGGACATTTGGATGGTGTCCCCTTGTACTCCTGGGTTGTAGTAGGCACCAAACTTCAAGTCCATAGGCTCACTGCTGTCTAATCTGAGAACTGGAAAGTAGACAATATTAAATATTTATAGCATACACCTTGTCTTTTGCAAAAAGAAAAGTACTCTAATTAACTTGTTGAGGTGGAAGATTAAAGAGTAGACCGCTGTCAGTGGTCCAATCCTATGTCTTTGACTCCTAGGTTTTCTGTTGTAATGCTTTTATTTCCAGCATAAGGTAACCAAGTACACAAAAAGGAGCAGTCTACTGATTTATTAACACACTACCATTACACAGTGGCTTTGACAGCAAAAACATACCCTAAAAGCAAAGAGCAAGAGCTCTCTTCTTGAGGCTCCATTTTGAAATAACCTTAACAAAAATCAATAACACAAAGCTCTTTTCCTGAATGTGCTGCTATTGTCCCTGCTGAATAATTGTTTTCCTCTGCACCTACAAGTACCATGGAGCATTATATAGGAAATCACTACACCTAACTCCGATTAATAAATAAGATAGATCGAAGGTAAGTGGACACACCTAAGACATAAATTACACTTAACCTGAAAATAACTGCATCACAGAGATAATGTCGCAAGCCCTTAAGGATCTGCTGTGAAAATATACTCAGTGTAGCAAGAAGGACAGGTAATAAATCCTAAACAATCTTATGTTGGGTTTATATTACTTGTGTTGTTTTCTGGAGTTGCTTTGCTTGTGCAAACGAAGAGTCTAAGAAGAGAAGGAGCGATTGTAAAGGCCAGGGCTAAAGTGACACTTGGGGCTATACCGCTTACTCAACTTGTGTTGTGTAAGCGATTCTAAAAGTCACCAGTTCCATTTTTTTTTAATCTCATGTACCCCCACAGACCTGTCAGACTGACTTGAAAACCCTTTCATCAATAACACATATAATGGTCAACTTTTGTTTTTTGGTGGACGGGTTGTTGCAATTTTGCTTTTGCTGGGGATTAAATGGTCTGACCTTGAGATGAGTTTGCTGGTCTGTCCACTCCTGGGTAGATTGTGGCAATGTGTTAACACATAAATTATCCACGTTTTTGTAGGTAAGACTACTTCGGTATTAAAAATGTCCCCTAGCTTTTGTTCAGTTATAGTTAGCTCTTTTAACCATTAGCTTGCTATTTTAAATCTGCTGTGTCATAAAACAGACGCTTGTTGTTATTAAAAACATTCCGATATTTGATACCTGTATGAGGCAATGTCACTGACATCACTGACAACACTGAGATCAGTTGAGCACTTGATGTTTCTATCACTGAAATAAATCCCGGGGAAGAAAAACACTGTGTTTGCAAGGTCAAAAACGCTTCTTCAGCCTGAGACTCTCTGGCTCACATGTACAATTGATGACAGTTTACCACACACAGATACAGACACTACATGCAGAAAACAACTCTTGCCCCTCGCTTCAAGCGAGGGGTAGCAGTACTAGCAAGGTTATTGGATGATAACAGCCATAGAGGAACAACCACACAGACCCACAGTGTCTGGCTACCTCTTGCCTCTCGCGAGCTCTTTTAATCATTCATTTCTGCACATGAAGCTTGTGGGCTTGTTTGCATTAAGCGCATAATTTACATACATGGGCTGCAAGTAGGCAGTCATATCACGTCACTTTACTGGTGAACTGCCAAGCAGTTTATCAAGTGCTCTACACTCTTCGAGTTATACTGCGCAATACTGAGCGACTGCATTACCAAAGAGGTTTTCTTCCTTTCCATTTTGTAACTCTGCCTTTGTTACCAGAGGAGTTTCTTTTAACAATGTTGGGTGTTGTCAAGAGTATATGTTTTTCAGTTGCCACCCTGTTTCTCTTACATTGTCGTGGGTGTATGGCTTAAGATGGAATGTGACTCATCTGGAAAGTGCAGGTACATTTTCAAGCCGGCCTTCACTAGATGCACTTTGCCAGCTAATCGCCCGTGCAGTCACGAGTCCCACGTGCATATCTGTGTGCACTTTAATGAATTTAACTGGAAATGAAGGAAGGTTATGTACGAGGGCGTGTAGGGGAACTGTGACAACAAAGTGCTGTTTCCCTCTAAGTTCATGGCAGGAAAGCAACAGATTAGAAACTATCATAGTACATGATCCTATTTTGCATGGTGAGGTTACCTTATTATGGGAGGGTTGCCTTATTAAAACAGGATTAGTTATGCACTTGTGTGTGTGTGTGTGTGTGTGTGTGTGTATGTGAAAGGGAGAGAGAGTAAGAGAGAGCAGCACCTCTCTCTTTTGTCACTATGTTAAACAGCCAACTTTTTTTTCTTTTTGTAAAGGGGACTGCGGCACTATCCAGCAGCCAGTTACCTTAAATACGAGGGGATAAGTGAGTTATAGTGGCTCATTATGAAGCACTGACAAAAGCATATTTAGCACAGTTTTATCTCAGCACTACATTTCTCGGCATAATTTAATAGTCTGCTGCCAGACGTTTTATTAAATATGAAAGTCTTTCGATAGCTATCAAGTCGGCAACCCTGATTAAAGCGAACGATCTGTTACTTTATAGCGCGAAGGAACACACATACCTGGCTCGGAAGGATACTCCTCAACCAGCTTCCTGTGAGAGAAGGCCTTCTGTTGTTTCTTCTTCAGGATTACGAAGGCCACCAGTCCCACAAATGTCACAGCCACGGCTGTTCCCAGCACTGCTCCCCAGGCGTTGTGTCGTTTACTGATCTGGGGATCTGTTGCGAAACCTTCGTCTGAGGAGTGAAGGGTTGTGGGGGTGGGAGAGAGTCACAGATAATTTGTCAACAAGAAATTATTTACATCGTTTGGCATCTTTGAGGGATAATTGTTGACTAATTATGGCTAAAATGTGTTTTTCAAATTGCGTTCAGAGCCGTAACGCATTGCATGGTGATACATCACAATTATTCAGAATTGTATAATTTACGCTGTGATAATTAATGCAATTAACATGCCAAATTCATGATAATTTCTGGAATACATTTGAATATTTTAAGGCAGCAGGTTGTGATCGTAATCTAAATGTGGTGAAATTTGGCTGAATACTTCATGAATAGCATTCAAGTTGTCATTAAATTATATATAACAACTGTTTAAATGGAAACTGTGAAACAATAACTAGCCTATTGACTTTTTGTTGTTGTTGTTTTTTCAAAAAAAAAAGGGTTTTATTTGTATATGACATAAATGTTTGCTGCTCTTCTATTTTAATGTATGTGTCCAAGGCAACAGCAGTGGAAAATAATTGTTTTTGAAAGTGATAGAGTCGTCTTCAACATCCTTTGACAGAGAAATACTCGAGTGGTATTTTGTCAGGGCTCACACATAAATAATTCAGTGACTTTGTTCATCTAGAAACGGCTCAATTGACAGACTTGCTAGGATCAATTTACCCGTAATCCAAGGCAGGCTGAACCACAAGACTTGTTTCATTAAGTGTTTTTCTATTCTTGTCATCTTTAGCAGCAAGTTTTTTGTTGTTTTTTTACTTTAAAGTAAACATAATGAAACGTAGGTGGAAATAAAGATTTTAGCAATTGTTGCTCCTGCTGGGAAATTATTTTTAAGTTAGCTCGCAACCTTTTAAGGTTGGCAAACAAATTGAACTGCAAGTTATCAGTTTTTTCTTAAATTTTCATCTCATGATGACAAAAATGTACAAACACAGGCAAATAAAGTTAGTCTAAAATTGTGTAGAGAGTTGTTCACAGTTTTACTGAATGGACGGTATCGTAGATCAACGACTACGAACTGGACTGCTCTGAAATTTGGCACAGATACACGTCGTGTTCTCTTTAGGATGAATCTGGAAACCTTGAAAAAGCTCAGTGTTTTTCTAGGATATCCTTAAAAGCTACCCATGTCATCCACACCATTATTAGGTAATTCCCACAGGCATTTCCCACACAGAGTCACTAACAGGTCCGTATGGATTGTAGCTGAGTAAGTGAGGTGATTAGCTAATTGTCAGTTAGTGTCAGAGAAAGCTAAGGTGCCTTGTGGGATCTTACATATAGACTGTTTATCTGTACTCTGTGCTTTTCTACAGTTTCTGTGCACATGCTGTTCCTGTCATGATAACTATGGAGCTTTTTTTTATCATTTTGTGCTGCCCACAATTTCACATCTGTTTTCCTGCTGCCTATTGCCATCATCTGTTAGTGTTATGTCCTACTGTCCCATCTGTCCACGAGCTGTGTCATTTTAATCCCCACTGCACCAGCTCTGCAAAGGTTTTGTTTTTTGTACTGTGGTCTTCTATTAGCTTACGCACTGATTAAGAAATGTAAATTTCCTTTCCAGTCTTATCTTCCTGATCTGGTGGTCAACACCAAAGTCTAGTCTCACGCCCTTGCACCGACACAGCACAAGTATCTCTGACCTCAGTCCCTCGCTTTCTCTTTCAAGTTTTTCCCCCCCTAAAACAGAGTTTCATTGTTTGGCTGAGAAGGTGTTTGTAATAGACTCCTTTGCTCATAGCAGCCACCTCGATAGGACTTGAAACCCAATCCAACCTTTGCTTTTTAAAAAAAGGGGTATTTGTCCTCTTCCAGTGGGAAAATAGATGCTGGCAAATATGGCCCAGGAAAGGGATGTAAAAACGCAATTTGTTAAACATATGACATGATAATATTTTCCTCATGAGCACCGAGCATAGAGGTCATCGCTAAGTAGGTTTAAATCCTCCTTTGCCGCCTCATGGATCTTATTCTGATGCCTCAACCCGCATTAATTAAGTCAAGTCAAAATCTTCTAAAACTTTCACACAGACAGCATATTCTCCGACTGTCCATCTGCCTTTTGCCTTCAGGATCAGACACACAAATGTGGACCAGATTCTGTTACGCAGACTGTACCAGTACCTGTATCGGAGCTGCCCGCTAAGCCCGCGCTTTTGTCAGTCTTGTTGACCTTCTCAGGCGTGTTTGGAGCAGCAGCAGTTGTAGTCTCCGGGACGTCGGGAAGAAACACCGTTGTAGGTGAAGATGTGGTGGTTGTCGCGTTCATCCCTGGCACCACTTTTGTGGTCAGAGTTGTTGTGCTGGTTGTTGTGTGCTCTTCTGTAGTGTTGGTCTCTGGAACTGAGGTTTGTGACTCTAAATCAGTGCGATTAGAGTAATCTGGGAAGCTGGTGGAGTTTCGCGGGGTCAGCGTTTTATTAAACTCCCCTTCAGTTTCCATCATGTTGATCTGGCTTGTGTTTGTGGGATCTGTGGTTGTGGTCGGCGGCAGCTCGGTTAGCTCGATCGTACCGTTTTGAACTTCAGGACTCAGGGTCGTGGTGGTAACATTCTGCTCCTCCCATTTCTCATTTCCACTGTTTTCCTCTTCTCCTGAATATGGTACCATTGAGCCAGATGCTGTCCCACTGTAGTCATTATTTGACTCTGTAACATCAGCTCCCTCATCGTTTCCTTTAGTAACCGTAGCATTCTCACTTCCTTGTGGAATTTTGCCTCGTGCACGCAACCAACTCTTATCAATCGTTCTCCCTGGAGAGTCTGTTGTATATTGGAGTGATGCCAGGTGGAATGCTTGGACAAGCAGGAGAAGGAGCAGAAGTCTCATTTTCCCTTTTGTTGTTACTCTGAAACACATGAAAAAACATACACATTATTTGACTTCTTTAAATACAAATTGTTAATTTAAAAACATAAATGATACAATAATAATAATAATCGTCTGTAACGATCGTAGCATATGTATGTATATATGTCTGTACAAGAAAGCTAATCAGAGATTATTCTTAACAGGATGTTAAGGGCCTTTGGAGTTAGCCACAACTAACTATGTCAGCTTAATTGAAAGTATCTTTAGTAACTACTCAGTAACTCAAATACCATATGATATGACAACCTGCCCGTGGCAATAAGGAGGAGGCTGAACAGAATTTGTTAGTGTCTGGAAAAAGTATTAGTCAGTAAGAAATGTCATTGGATGAGCTGTATCGACAGGCTGTCTTAAGGAAAGCCCAGTCTGCTGTTGTTGTCCAAAAACAATGAAGACAACTTCAATATTTCTACATTTGGTTGAGAGTATACCTTAATACTGACACTAACTTCAGCTCACTCCATCATGTGATGTCACTGCCAAGCTCAGTCGTTTGTTTGTTTGTTTGTTTGTTTGTTTGTTTGTTTGTTTGTTTGTTTGTTTGTTTGTTTGTTTGTTTGTTTGTTTGTTTGTTTTTTGAGGGCTGCATAACTTCTTTTAGAAGACTCATTTTGTTCATCTATTTTTTGAATTTTTATTTTCATTTTGTCGCAGATTTATTCATCGAGGTCACCTTCGTGCGAGTTGCTTCTTTAAGGTCATCTTCCTCACTTCTTTGAAAGCTGCTGATTGCACCACGTGCCCGTGACCACCTCCAGCAGATAAATATCCATCGTCAAGAAACATTGAAACCCGACTTTTAAAGTTAAAGTTACTTTGCAATCTGCTTTTTACACGATCAAAACTCAGCTGCAACATTTATCCATTTTGCATTGTAAAATTTCCCAAAAGGGCATCAAAGCTAACGATAGCCGAGCAAACCTGCCCCTCTAAAAATAGCCCATGGTATATTAATGATAATATCACATCCACACTCGGATGTGATATTATCATTAATATACCATGGGCTATTTTTATAATTAGAAAAAGATGCATGACATTTACATTGCATTGTTCCTGACCTAACCAGTGATAATTTTAATTAATATTGTGGATTATAACAATTACAAGTCCTCGTTTTCCCAGTTCTACACTTGTACTTTACCAGAGTTTTGTTAAATTGCACATTGACAGACATGTTCCCGACGGGCTGTTTATTTTTGTTGCTTTAATGTGTTTTGTTTTTTTTTCTTCAAAACATAGGGAGATTGGAGGTTGGGCACAAAATGAATTTTTGATTCAAATAAAAGCTAAAGGATGAAAAACAGCTTTTCTGTTATTTCCTTCCCCCCCTGTTTTCTTTGAGCGTCTGAAAAGTCTGTTTACCACCTGCTGAGTATAAGCACCATCAGGAAGGACCCACAGGTGCTAAATGTGTGTTCATCACAGCCTTCAAAGTCCGCCTGGCCACACTGGAAGACTCAAAAACAACAAAACATCTCCAGCCTGATGTTTTTCTTCCCCGCATTTACCAAAATGCAACCAAAACACCTGCTTGAGGGGTGAAGGTCAGCTTCAGTGACATGAGTCATAATAAAAATCCTTGAATTCCACGCCACCACCTGACTTTCAGTGAGCTGCTCAACGGACGGCTGACAGCATTGTGAACGCGGCACATTCGGGAGCTTGTTGGCAAATTTCTCCACAGTCATCCCCTACGATGTCTGCATAGCCCCGACACCATCTCTGGTGAGATCTGTGGCTTTTTGACAGTGTGAATTGTGCGAGTGCCCTGTGAGCTATGTGTTCTCCCCTCGGCTTCACTCCAGTACACAAATGACTGCAAATCCCTACAGGGCACTCTTGCTGTGAGTCACTTTGTTGATCAGTTGCTTTGTTCTAAATTCATGCTTGTTATAATCAGCATGAGAGGCTCAGTGTACAGTGTGTAACATTGGCGCCTGGAGCAACAGAGGCTTCACTTGCAAATCTGGGAATTTCACATTTCCGGTTTTACCTGTTTTGACATGTTCAACAAAGGTGCTAAAAACATCAAGGAAGTACTTTGTTTTTAGCTCATCGGGATTGATAATCTGGCAAAAAGGAAAACCCAAGCGTGTATATTCGTTATATTTTGAATACAGTTTGTATTTCCTTGAAACTGCTGATGTTAGCTTTAAAATAGCACTGCTCAGTTGTTTTGACTGACAACTCACAATCAGCCAGGGATTGTTCAATCGCTGGTTAGCTTTTCAACAAGCTTGTTATCATCCGACGACTTTGTTTTCGTGCTGGTCTTTTTTGTTTTCTGAGAAACAAATGGGGGGGGGGACGTGTGTGTTTTGCTTTTTCAGCCTGCCGCAGGATCAATCGGGCTTGTTCGTGTTCGCCGATCGTGCAACACACACAAAAAAATGTTTCAGTCCAGCAGCAGAATGGCGGGAACAAGTTAGAGCTCATAACACTGCAGCGGTGGAAAATAACAAAGTGGCGCTTTTAAGTGACACACTAATGCACCTCCTGCCTCTCCCGTCGCTTGATGGATTTTGGAATACTGTGTGAACTTTTCATCCTTCCTCTTTCTCCCCACATTTCCCGTCTCGCGTCTTCACAGTACACCATCAATTTTAAGACAACAGCTCTCAACTGAGCACTCTGTGGAGGATAAAAGTCTAATTACGCTGCAGGCATCTTGAGAAGCTCGTGTAAAGGAAACCAGTTAATGTGGAACCAGTTTTACAAGCAGCTCAGCAGCGTCACTGTTGTGTTTTGTTGTTTGATTGTTCAATGTTCAAATGAGCACACAATCAGCATGGAAGTAGTTTCTCTATAATGCGAAGACCAGAGTATTATTGGTGATTGTCAACTCGCTTTAAAAACACATAGAAAAACATTGTGCAGCTGACCTGTTCAGACACAGACTCTACCACCATCTTTGGATGGCACATGTGGGCCGTGCAATTTCAAACCAGCTATGCCCACTTTGATCCTGTGACACAGCGCATAGCTATGAACAACAACTACTCTGAACCATTAAAAAAAAAGAAATTACAGCAGCGAGCTGCGCCCAGAGAATATTTTGACCCGCCAACTAGTCTTCGCGCAGCAGCAAGTTCACGGCAACGGGGAGAGAATTTTGCTTCTGACCCTTCGCACTCAGAGAAGCCATCTGTTGAAAAGAGCTCCCACTATGCCAGTCTGTCAGAGCGCAAGCTATCATCTCAACAGCTCAGTCAGCCGTGCCTTCATCAACATCACACAGACACACTCACGCAGGCTGAAAGGGACACTAATGTGATTCCTGTAAACACCTGGCGACAGCGTATCCTTCTTAATTATCTGACATTTTAGCTGTCTGAAGTTATTATCACCCCTCAATATACTGTAATTTATTTTACATTCATGTGGAACGCAACCTCTGCGTACAGCAGAAGTTTCAAGCTGCGTTTCTACTCCTGGTTAAGAGCAGTTGAACTCTTAACCAACTCTCAGCCCTACCCAACAGTGTATGAAGAAAAGAAAATTCTCTTTGTTGACTCTGCTTATCAATGCATTTGTGTGGTTAGGCCATATTTTGATGGATTTTTTTTATCTTAAAGTGTGCGTACTCTGGATTAAAAGATCTCAATAGTTCATCCATCCCAGTTTTTAAATGTACAAAACATCGCTCTAAGGCTCTTAACTGTAAAAACTGGCAACCACTTATTCCCCTGCCTAGGTTATATAAAGTCTTAAAGTATGTATGTCACTCGTTGTGACGTTGTGGCACCTAGCAACCAACTTGTTTTCTTACTTTCATGTTGAAAACAAAAGCTCTTCAGTTTTTGAATCTTCTATTTTTACACTTTCAAAATAAGAAGCAGTGACAAAACCTGCGGGGTACGGCCAATTGTTAAGTGTAACTGTAAATGTTACAGCTACCAAATCAAATATCATCAAACACAATGCCGCTGTGAAAACAAAAAGTGGAATGAAGATAGGGGGTTTGTGAATATTCATAAAAAAATAACAGTAAATATGGTCCTGAAAAGCATATTCCCGACAGCTTTTAGCCTCACATGTTTGCTGTGAATTGGAAAGACAAAAATATTAATAAATAAATAAATAAAACCCTCCCTCAGTAAATCCTTACCTTATTCTTAGGCTATATCAGATGAGAACAGGTGCACAGGCAACAAAATCTCTTCACTCAGCTGCCAACATGTGAGAGTGAATCAGCAGTCGGCTTGGAGAGAGAAGGAAGAGAAGGAGGGAGGGAGGAGGGCCCGACAGAGTGGCATTCAGGGAAGAACCTGTTCAACCTGCTTCTTCACCTGCCAGCAGCAGAAACACGCCCTGAACCGCATCCAGTTGCATGCCGTGAAAAGGCCACGAAGGACGGGGATGAAAATGAATTGGTGTACGAGTAAAGAGGGTTGGGGGAATGTCAATTTGCTACCACCTCATTATTTCATGTTGCCATCTAAATAAGTTGATTATATTAATTTTTGGTTGCCAGGTTTCCAGGTTGCCAGGTTAGATCTGTGAATTCCCCCCCAGTGGGCGGAGCATTTTGCCAAAGGTCCTCGGAGCCTTTTTTTTTCCTCCTGCTGCGGTCGTCATGGTAACAGAAAAGAGGCTGGTAAGCTCGGGTTTCATCCATGCTTTTGTCTCTGGTCTATATCAGGCTACCAGGTGACGTGTGACTTTGTGAACTCGCAGGTACCGTGCGTCAAATGAGCCAGGATTGCTTTTTTGTCTCGTTCCTCGATTAAGTGAGTCATGCAGAGGCTGAATTCATTTAGTGTGAACGAGCGAGGCTGGTGAAGTGGCACTCAAAGCTGGCGTGTTTTGGTGAGTTAAGAAGAGGGAGTGGCTGTGCTTGCTTTGCTAATGAAATTGAAAACTACAGGTTTCCATCAAATAGACTGAAAGCCCATCCAGTTCTCCAAAAGAGTACGCCCAATCAGCATGAGCATTATACAGAATACCTGGCAGCCATTAATAGTCCAAAATCAAGTGCTTTAAGGTGGTTATTTTTACAGCTTCAGCCACTGCAGACTCGCCTCAGTCAAGCAGCTACACAACACAACTAACCTTCAACAGGTCATGTCAAAAATCTCTTTGAAATATGAATAAAACGAGATGAAAAAAGCAGCAGAGCTGTCTGTTCAGGTCTCGGTTATTACTTCCTACCTGTTTTACATGTTATAAGCCAGTAATCAAACACATTAACTTTCGCAAAAAGTACTCATGTGTTTTGCTATCATAACCACGTGGGTTTATTTATCATCTTGCACTGAAGATGCCATTGTTTAGCTGCTGATATACTGCCATAGATGAGGTTTAACAGTGGCCTACTGTTCCGAGCACACAGAGTTCCTCACAGACAGCTTGTCGCTGCCACCTCATGTGGCCTGCCAGTGTTTGAAGCTAATGGGATCATGTAGCCTCATCAGGGATGTGAATAATAGAAATGCCTAAATCTTGAACGGAGGATAAACAGCCTTCAAACTTGAGTGCAAAACAAAAGTGTGCAAAAGTCATGAAAGGTTAAAGGAAAAGCAAGTTAGGGTGCTATGAAACCTGGAGAATGCATTATGAAGAAGGGTGCATTTGTGAATACTGACGTTTAATGCCAAGTTTCACCCACTGCCCAAAAGATCTGTAGCTTTATGGATAGATAAAAGCACTGTAGCAAAGTCTCTGTTTCTTTGATCTTAGGCAGTAGAATTTAGACAATAAGAACAGCAAACAGTCATACCAGTTTTCAGAATTACAATAAGGGAGGAATGCAAATAATCATACATGCAATTCTTCCTGTGAAAGCTCATAACTGGAGCTGCTTGGAGAGAAATGCCCTCAGTATCTAGCTCTCAGACATTTGCATCGCAAATAGATAAGCCTGTATGTGCAGGATTGGGCCATTTGACTCACGTGACTGTGCTATCGCATAGACAAACCTTGGCACAGAGAGGCAACGCATAGAAAACAAAAATAATATCTAATGTGTTTTAACATCGAGTTAAAAACACAATCTGAAGAAAAAAAGAGGCATTGGCATTAACTAGATTCAAATGTAGCATAGATTCACACATTTTTTCACTCATTTCTGTGATATGTGACATACAGTCAGCCGACACTTTGTCAGTACCGGGTTGGACCCTCCTTAATTCTTCATGGCACAGGTTCAACAGGGTGCTGGAAACATTCCTCTGAGATTTCACTCCATGTTGGCATGATAGCATCACACAGTTGCTGCAGATTTGTCAACTGCACATCCATGATGGAAATATCCTGTTCCATCGCATCCCAAAGATGCTCTATTGGATTGAGATCAGGTGACTGTACACTGAATACACTGAACTCACTGGCACATTCAAGAAACCATGACTCGAGCTTTGTGACATGGCATGTAGCCTGCTAGAAGCAGCCATCAGAAGAAGGGTACACTGTGGGATGATAAAGGGATGGACAGAGTCCACAGCAATACTCGGGTAGGCTGTAGCATTTAAATGATGCTCAAGTGAGCCAAAGTGGGCCTCCACACCATTGTGGCACATCCACAAGCCTGAAGCACTGATAGAGGGCTTAGATTTGACCCTACCATTTTAATATTCCAGCAAAAATTCGGCAGACCAAACAACATTCATCCAATCTGCTACAGCAGTGATGTTCTGGTGCTGTAACCCATCTGTGCATTTTTCTCCTATTTTGAATATTAACAAGTGGTCATTTGGGTTACTGTTGCTTTATTATTTGCCCAAAGCAATCTGACCATTCTCCATTGACCTCTTAATTAAACCACGAAGGCATTTTCTGTAACCCTAGAAAGTCCTGGTAGATCATCAGTTTTAGAAATAGAAATGTGCATTTGGCATAAAAAAAGTACCAATGCCACATTCAACGTCACTTAAATTACCTTTCTTCCCTATTTTGATGCTCAGTTTGAACATCAGCAGGTTGTTTTGACCATGTCTGCATGTACCTAATGAAGGGGTGAGTCTGTATCTGATGGATAATATAATTTGGAGTCACTTGCAAGTTCCAAAAATAGCATGTTAAAGTTCAAGCTGATTCTTGAAATTGAGTCTCAACTGGATGAAGAAGTAACTGTATTACTCTGGCTCGCACATGGACAAACACCAACACAATCCTGCTCGGTGTGATAATAGCAGAAGCATAAAAAACTACTCCCAGGGCTGTGCAGGAGAGCTGATCTAATTAGCATTGCTTTGTAAATATTGCTTCATGTCTGTTGGTGCTCCACACTGTCTATCAAATTATAATTGATCAGATATGTGCAAGAAACGGAGGGAAGGGCGATCGCAAGCAGCAGATGTCAGCGTGACACATTCTTTCCTCAGGTGTCAAGGGAAGTTCTTCGCTTTGGCATAAAAAAAATACTATCAAATGTTGTGACACCTCATAAAATAGTCTTAAATGTTGAATCAATGTGATTTAGCTTGTTATTTGTTCTTTTTATTAAAATCTGATAAACTTCAACACTGCATCACAACACTCACCTCAAGACTCTTTATATTATAAAGTAAAGAATCTACAATAATACAGAGAAAACCCCAACAATCCTTTTAGTAAGTACTTGGCGACAGCGGGAAGGAAAAACTCCCATTTAACAGGAAGAAGCCTCCAGTAGCACCAGGCTCAGGGATGAGGCAGCCATCTCCCATGACTGGTTGGGAGTGAGTAGACAGATGTCAAAGAGAGGTAGAGATGAATAATAACTAAAGATTAAATGCAGAGTGGTGTACAAGCACATATAAATACATTTATACATTGGACTGTACCATGTTTCTTATCCCAAAGGATGGAGTGCCTGCCTGGATAAATGAAACAGAGTATAGGGGCTCCTATTTCTGGATGATTCAGCCAGCTCTTATCTCGCTGTAGATACATCTAGTTATATAAATTAAGCTAGAATTCTTCTTCATTAAAAGTCTTGTCAAACACCTCCATAGCAGAATGAGTAATGAGGGCGGCGAAAGGATTTTCAACTTTAATTTGAATAAATCTGGCACTTTCATGTATTCATTCATATGTATGGCTCATTCACGTACCAGATTCTCCTAACATAGACCACTGAATATATTCATTCAACCGGGCTTCAGTGCAGGCCCCACATGTTTCTGCATACGTTCCGGTCCGTATTGAATAGCGAAATGTGTTGCCATTTGTCATCGTAATATATGCTGCAGAGCACACATCGTTTGATGGCAAAAAATCAAAGACTGAATGTAAATTTACAGTTATGTACAGCACACTGACAGCCCAAGTACCCAGAAATTCATAAATGTGGAAATTTAGATGATGCTCCCTGAAATATATCTCCCAGACTCAAGATAGACAAAAGCGCTGCAGACATAAAAACAGTGAAATCGCCCAACAACAGCAACATGCTCACTTTGAGAATCCAGAGATATAATTTCCCAGTGTCGGATTAATAATTTAGTTACATAAAGATGTGCTCGCAGCGGTATCGTGTGAATTATCTATCAGCAGTATTAGGACGTAGGAAAATAAGCCTTAATATGTGAACACGGACGAGCTTGTTCAGAGATCTGAGGCTGCTTTTGCTGTACTGAAGAGACTCATTCAGGGAAATGGCTGCAAGAGGGGTATAACAGCCAAACTACCATAATGGGTCTGCACTTATCTGAGTCTTTGAAGCATCCTTCGAGCTATTATTGCATTTGAGGTTAATTCGCTCTGATTAGGCAGGCAGAAAAACAGATCTAACCCTGGATGTTTGTCAGTGTCTAGTTTCAGATTAGCTTTGCTGAAAAGATGTGTTCATTTTTTTCACTTTTACGATTCATTGCTGTTTATTTTCACACGTGTGCTTCTGAGTTAAAGTTTCACGCGTGTAGTTTAAACGATAGTCTTGTTTCCAGTAAGTTCTCCGAAATGGCGCTCTCAGATCCGCCTGTTAAGCATTAGATTTGATGAGTGTTTTCCCTGTGTGCTAAAGATTCTGTGGCTCAGTCTGAACAAAAACACTTTGCAACTCTTTGGAGAGGCATAATGAAAAAGCCAAACTGTGCACGCTCTCACTTATTTCCTCAGTTGATTATAAAAAGCGCATAATTTCCACCAAGTCGAATTCTGCGCGGCTTCCTCATGAGGATTTTATGGTTTTCGACTCTGTCTTCATGAAAATGAAATTTTTACAGTAAATTGCCTTCTATGTGAGCTA